ATCAATCGTTTATAAATCCTCTTCAATCGGTGCAACTGGTCTTGGTCGTTTCTGAAAATGTAAAAATGTGTACCGTAAGAGTATGACATTAATAGTATAGTGCTAAAAGATTATGGTCTAAGAGATTAGGGAGCGTTTACATATGACGTTAGCAGCTGAGGGGGAGAGGGGTTTGGAAATGCTGACGATCCTCGACGCCGCAAAAATTGTTGTTTCAAATCTATTTTATTAGCAATAAAACTTCGCTAATTTCCTTCATATTAGTACTTTGGTGAAGTGAACTCTGTTGACCAGTCATGTACACTGATTTTCCCTGCGTACACTTCGTCAGCAATCAGCATTACTATACCCCTCGCTTACTGACGGGAGGGGTATGTATTAGGTAAGGGGGTGGGGGATCGCTCAATGCTGACAGTTGCCGACAGGGGACTCCCCGATTTTACTTCCTATCTCCCCTGACGGGAGATAAGAAGTTAAATCGGCCGAAATTTTACTGACGTCATAATATGTGAACGCTCCCTTACAAGTACATTTGGTCACTTTAATACCTTTAGGTGGTCCCAGAAACACTTTGCTGCCTCTTTCAACTGTCCAAAACAGCACTGTAAAATATTAAGTGTTATTAGGTTTAAAAGCTATTCAGTAGATAGTGATTTCAAATTACAAATAGGCAAATATTATACTTTATACTTAAATAAGATGTGTATACAAGAATTTAAAACTTACATAGACAAACAGAATCCCAAAACTGAGCGCAGCCAACCCACCGATTACTCCTATTATTTTGTCCTCCCAGCCATTCTTTTCTTCGCTGGCTGTATAGATAGATTATACGGTAAAAATCATTTTTGAGGCTAATTTCCAGAATTGTTAAAACTTAAATAGCCCGATAACAAATTAATAGTGTCATCATGTAAAGTTCTTAAAATGAGTTAATGGCAGGAGTCAACGCAGTTCAATCTATTATATATATATATATATTTCATGGCTGGACTTCTACACAATAAAAGAAAGCGGTTGTGATTAGATCTTCGAAAGTCTTTGCATCGTTTATTTACATCAATTCTGAGAAATTATATCATTAAAGTAACTACAACAAATACGAATCATATACAATTGAGAATAAATACAAACTAAAAGCAGTGGGAAAATCTGATGAACTGAAATTTAAAAAAGAAACTGAAAGCCGTTAAAAATGTACTCTTATCTTATCTCTTATCTAAATACTGATAACTGATTCTCGGAAAATCACTTAAAATCACAACGAAAACCTGTAAAATTTATACTTAAGTAAAAAATGTAATATGCACGTCTCTGGAATAATGGTATAACTAAATAAAATCTACAAAATATACTAAAACTAAAACTAAGCTCCGGCAGATTTAAAAAGTAGATGGTTACTATCAAGGGTGTTCATACCCCCAAACCGTTCAAGGGTTTTCAATTGGGTCTGGTAGAACCCCTCTCTAGCTTCCATAGCCTTTTCTTTGTCTGCTTTACTAATATTAGGCTCAAATACTAAAGCGTCTACTATAATGACAGAAAGGTGCTTACTAAGTGAGGAATTATAGCAGGCTATGGTACTAAAATCTAAATCATGATCAATATCTAAAAAATGGTTAACTAATTTACAACTTCTTATACCTTTCTTTATGTGACTCTTATGGTTAGAGAATCTCTTAGGGAGATTTGAGGTAGTATAACCGACATACGACTGTTTACAAGTCTTACACTCCATTAAATAAATGAGGTTATAACTCTGACAAGATATATACTTAGTTATAGGGAAAACTTGTTTAGAATGGTGACTACTAAAATTGGAACAGGGGGACAGGAAATTTTGCTTACAAACATAACATTTACCACAAGCATGGCACCCTGGGTCGACAGCCCCGGGAACCGCCCTTAGACTTTCGGAGTCTGGTTCCTGGATCTGGCTTGCAGTTGTTTCTCTCTCATTATCACAGTTTAAAGTTCCACTGGCACGGTACTTATTGTGTACAAGCATGCCACCGATAGTTTGATTCTTTCGATGACTCACGAATACACTGTCCGCACGTACCAGCTTCTTCAGGGCCGGATCAAGGTTGAGAAGGTGCTTATACTTATGGATAATGCCCCCCATGTATATATATATAAATTCAATATAATTCGAACAATTGAAATCAGGGCACTGATGATTGGTATTGTTTTATACATATCACAAAGCGAATCGTTTGCCCTCCAATTTGATTTGTTTCAATTGTTCGAATTATAATGCTCCTGCTTATAACTGCAGTCGAGCACTCTATTTGGGAAACCAAGCAACAACTATTTATTATAAATAAATATATATTATAGATTTATAGTTCGAACGGACTCAACTGGTCGTTTCTATTTGTATTATAGTTCTATATTTATTACATACATATATAATATAATATATATTATATATTATAATATATATATATTATATAATAACAGGTTCATGGTTTTTATTCAAAATTATATGTCCGATTTTGAGGCTGTTTCTGATGAGCATACTGACGAATTGAAATCGGAGTAGATGAGTATTGGCAAACGTTCTGGTACATTCAAAAGTGACAATAATCACTAGTCTTCCGTTAAGTCACCTTTTTAGAGTAAATTAAACTTAAATACTAGGTCGTATTATAAGTACCTAGCTTCTGGAACAAACTACATATTGAGAACTGATATAAGATACTAAGATATTTAAAAGCAACACTGATTCATCGATTGGTTGGACCGGATATAACCCAACTTATATTGTTCTCATTTTATTTTAAATGAGAAAGAGGGAGCGTCGAGCAGAACCAACTGTAATCAAGCCGAATTTCCCCCGTATTGTTAATCTTTGCAATTTGGAATTGATTAACGTGAATTAAGAAATTATTGCGTGTTGACAGTTTCTTTTGGCCCAGTTTATCTTCTCGCATGATGTATAGTACAATATTTACCATGTTCAGGCGTTGGTGTTGGTGTTGGTTCCTCCATGGGACATGTTGTCTGACGATTTAAGTCGTATCCATTCTTTGTTCTGCAAACAAATCGATACTTCAAGTCCGTTCTATGTTATGGATTTTTTAAGATATTCAAGAGAAAACACATTTGAACAAGAATGTTTGTTATTGTAGTATTACTTACAGTTTTTCAGTTCCTGATGTTCCTCTTCCTGCCACATTGTAACACCCTGAAAATCATTGTATGGTTAATCAAATGATATTTATATACTGTTGATATATTTATTGATGCTGAATCTGGTGGGGCTGGCTGGAGCAAACTTTTTGACACGTAGCAGAAGATTATTAATTAGTACCCATTATTGGATTGTCTATTTTATTTCATTTAGACTCTAAATAAACCCTAAAAAAGGGTTAAACAATATGCTTTACCTCCCCACCAGAATCATCATCTATAAATATAATTTACAATTTAATAATTGAACGTGGCGGCTAAAGCACAACCGTCTATTCATAATATCAGTCAGTATCTTCTAATGTGTTTAGGTCTGTATAAGCGAATCTCAGATTAGATGAATAAACAATAATCATTACTTACTCTCAATAATGTTCTGAAAGTTCTTGAACATTGCTGGGTCCATGCCCCGGTTAGTGACGGTAACGCACCTAGTGCAGTTATCCGTCACTAAACCGGAACATGGTCCCACAATGATCATAAAAAATATTTGCATCATATCCTGTAATTATTTATTTTATGAGATTAATAATATATATTAACTTAAAGGCGATGAACGATTTTAATAAACATGAATGTAGAAATTAAATAAATAAAATAAATTAACTGCTCGAAACTAGTGTATAACAGCAGAGGCTAGGGGTCGTGAATAGGATTCCCTATAGATGTAATATAAGCAGACACACGATGCTTAATTACAAGTAATGTAGGACTGACAACAAAAATTTAAATCCGTGCACGGTAAACTTTAGATCAACAAAATAGAAACTAGCTTGTTATATAGTGAGCGGAATTCACCGATGACTTCAAATTGTTTCACACGGTAATTTGTAATAACGCGATATGACCTTACCTTGTGAAATCACGTGGCGCGCTCGTGATATTCAACATAAACTACCGAGACACCACGTCGCACACAACTCTATAAATAAAATAGCGTCTAAGCCCCTTGGCCTTTGTTACACACACCCTTAATGTGATCTGTGTACTAAAATAGGCTATCAACGATACAAATCTTTTACATTTATTCATTATTATTATCTTCTGGAATGGAACTGGGAAGTGCTTGGAAGGTGTGGCCATATCAATTATACAACGATATAGAAAGTTATGAGTAATTATTCTTGAACGGAATCAACTAATCATTTTTGCTGTGTAGAAGTGTTTCATTTAAATTATAAATAATTACAAAAATTAAAATACGGATCATTGCTACTGAGTAGTCTATATTATTATTAAATACTGTTAGAAGTGTTTAATATACGACATATTTATGCCTGCAGTTTACTTACTTGTACTTCATTATGTCTCCTCAATCATTCGAGTGGTCATGGTCTGTACATGTACTCTTGTTTATATCTCTTGTTATATCATTCCTGCATCTTTCTAAATATATGATAATTTAACAAATATTAATAATCTAAAAACTACTTAGTACTTGTCTGTATGTACAGGGAGCTGCTGCCTGCTGGTAGACTATCGTCGCCACATCGACTACGCTATACAATGCTACTTGCATTACGTTGAATCAACCTGGATTGGAGGGGGATTATTTAAACATGAAAGTGATACAAAATTTTTGTTCAGAAGGAATTTGCAAACCAACTTCAGCTGGCTAAAAACAAACAGATATAGATAAAACATTCAACTTAATTGTGAGTTCTGAGGGGCCACTCCTACTGTTATTGATGGAGTTTTACGAAACGTTCAGGGAATTTAGGTCTGACTCATATCGATAATTTAAAATTGTTGTTTAACTCTGTACTGTGTTTATCCTTATTCCTAATATACACGTATCTCTTCAGGTTGATCCTCTTCGAGGCTGGACGAGAACATCTGAGACTGCAGCACTGGGACTATCTTTATTTGAAGACATTGGCTGTACTGCTGAGCTGAATCAAATCTATAAGAATCATCTTGGACCAGCAACAGAAACAACTATATTCGTATTACGGTCCTACTTCGAGCAATTCTACTAATAAAAAAATCGTGCAAGATTTATCATCGGATACATTCCTCTTCTAATTCTAATTAACAGACTGCTTCACCCAAAAATGCTGAATGACGTTAGTTCCACTCGAACTTCAAATTATAGCCCTCAGTCTCCCAACTTACATAAGCTTCAGTCTTTATAGAGTGATTATTGTTTGCTATGATGCTACCAAATACCAGTAACAATTTTGAAGGATCAAGTACTAAGGCCAGCGACGGTTAAGGTGTTATGCCACACTTTCTTCGCCCGAAACTTCGCTGTATTGATCATGCACAGCTCCTCATTTAATCCTCACGATTTCTAGAGTATTCGGCTAATTCGTCAACGATTAAATCGACTATATTAATCTTTAGATTGTTAAAAGTTTATCTGTATCATTTTATATTTTATTATCCACACAAGTTCGAACGCCATTTAAACGTCAAAGCATATATTTATTTTGGGCCCGGGTATGCTCATAGAAATTTCAATTTATTTAGGTAAAACTTGATGTATTGCACTAACTTGTGTAAGGTTAATGTCCGCTATCTCATGTGTACATCTTTTGATTAAAAAACTGTTATCAATGGTCTATTTCAAAAGTATCATGAATCTATTACAAGTTCTTTTAGTCGAATGTGATTAGCGTCTTGAAAGTGTGCACGAAGTCAATCCTGTAAAAGTATACTGCTTGCTTAGTAATTTCTACTGTTACACGTGTGTCACGCCAAATTATAATGATATCAGTGTGTAAAGTAATCGTTGACATCACTCCGCAACTGCGCGTCTTTTGGCGCGTATCTTGCTGGAATTCCTCAATTCCTGGCTAGATCGGCGAGATGCGCTACTGTGCCGCGCCGAGCTGCCATGAATTGACATCGTCAATTAACCTGCTAGCGCATGTGTGTCAAAAACAAAAGTGACAGACATGCGCTACCAGGTTTATAATGTAAATCAATAGGTGGCGCATGTGTGTCATTTCAATTTGAGACTTATTACGTAAGGGCTGGGAACCCCCAATTCGGTTTTATATGATAGATAGTGTCATGAGCTAGGCCTAGAGATCATCGAAAGTCGCACAAAATGACCCAGGTTCATAGAATGAACGGAAATGAACGGAAATGAACGGAAATGAATTGTATCCCAAAATTGTTCATAATGGTTCAAAATTGGTCTGAAGAGTTTGGTTGGCCCTAGGACCACCCTATGACATGGTTATGACATGGTTATGACATGGTTATGACATGGTTATGATATGGTTATGACATGGTTATGACATGGTTATGACATGGTTATGACATGGTGATGACATGGTTATTGGTTATGACATGGTTACAACCAAAACTCCTTCAGTCCAATTTTGAACCATTATGAGCACTTTCATGATACAATTCATTTCCGTTCATTTCCGTTCATTCTATGAACCTGGGTCATTTTGTGCGACTTTCGATGACCTCTAGGCCTAGCTTATGACACTATCTATCATAGAAAACCGAATTGGGGGTTCCCAGCCCTTACGTAATAAGTCTCAAATTTAAATGACACACATGCGCCACATATTGATTTACATGATAAACCTGCTAGCGCATGTGTGTCAAAAACAAAAGTGACAGACATGCGCTACCAGGTTTATAATGTAAATCAATAGGTGGCGCATGTGTGTCATTTCAATTTGAGACTTATTACGTAAGGGCTGGGAACCCCCAATTCGGTTTTATATGATAGATAGTGTCATGAGCTAGGCCTAGAGATCATCGAAAGTCGCACAAAATGACCCAGGTTCATAGAATGAACGGAAATGAACGGAAATGAACGGAAATGAATTGTATCCCAAAATTGTTCATAATGGTTCAAAATTGGTCTGAAGAGTTTGGTTGGCCCTAGGACCACCCTATGACATGGTTATGACATGGTTATGACATTGTTATGACATGGTTATGACATGGTTATGACATGGTTATGACTTATTACGTAAGGGCTGGGAACCCTCAATTCGGTTTTCTATGATAGATATTGTCATAAGCTAGGCCTAGAGGTCATCGAAAGCTAGGCCTAGAGGTCATCGAAAGTCGCACAAAATGACCCAGGTTCATAGAATGAACGGAAATGAACGGAAATGAATTGTATCCTGAAAGTGCTCATAATGGTTCAAAATTTGTCTGAAGGAGTTTTGGTTGTAACCATGTCATAACCAATAACCATGTCATCACCATGTCATAACCATGTCATGACCATGTCATAACCATGTCATAACCATGTCATAACCATGTCATAACCATGTCATAACCATGTCATAACCATGTCATAGGGTGGTCCTAGGGCCAACCAAACTCTTCAGATCAATTTTGAACCATTATGAGCAATTTTGGGATACAATTCATTTCCGTTCATTTCCGTTCATTTCCGTTCATTCTATGAACCTGGGTCATTTTTTGCGACTTTCGATGACCCCTAGGCCTAGCTTATGACAATATCTATCATATAAAACCGAATTGGGGGTTCCCAGCCCTTACGTAATAAGTCTCAAATTTAAATGACACACATGCGCCACCTATTGATTTACATGATAAACCTGGTAGCGCATGTCTGTCACTTTTGTTTTTGACACACATGCGCTAGCAGGTTTATCATGTAAATCAATAGGTGGCGCATGTGTGTTATTTAAATTTGAGACTTATTACGTAAGGGCTGGGAACCCCCAATTCGGATTTCTATGATAGATAGTGTCATAAACTAGGCTTCGAAAGTCGCACAAAATGACCCAGGTTCATAAAATGAACGGAAATGAACGGAAATGAATTGTATCCTGAAAGTGCTCATAATGGTTCAAAATTGGTCTGAAGGAGTTTTGGTTGTAACCATGTCATAGCCAATAACCATGTCATAACCATGTCATAACCATGTCATAACCATGTCATAACCATGTCATAACCATGTCATAACCATGTAAGAAAAAGGCGTCATAGCCATGTCACTAGCTGACCACTATGATTGCATTAACAATAAAGCGTTATTCTAAAAATAATTATGAATTATAAACGAGAAAACACGTTTCCTTTTTTATTATTCTTATTTTGTAAATGTGCTGTAATTATTTTGTAATTTTCACGCAGTACAGGCAATTACGGACAAAAGAAACGATGTTTTATATTATTAGTCTTAGAAGACTGATCAGCGCATCAAATAATGTTTTTTTCTTGATCGGCGCGATGCACAATTTATTAACTGGGCCGTACTGCCAGCTAACTGTGACATGTAAAATATTGACGTTGTTTTTTATTCGTTCGTAAATGATAAACGGTTGTGGGTTGCGGAATGACATTGAAAAGGCACAGGCTGAGCGCCGCCCAGTAACACAAACATTTCGCTTCGAAAAAAAAGTTTTTCGTGTTACTTCGAAAAAATTTAGACAAGCATCATCCGTCGACGTACCGGCGAGTTCAATTTCCAATCCTTTCTTTAACGGGTGATAGTATCACTGATACTTGTAGTCGTAAAAAAATTTGCTTCAAATATTAATCAGGACCGTCGACGAGTCCAACTCGGCGCGCGTCCTGGTAGGTTATAAACTTACAAGTCACGCGTCGCGATCCTCATTTGTAATTCATTTCGCCCCCGCTATACCGTGGCGAAAGCCACGATACGACCGCGCAGCCCACAGGCACAACGAAGGGCTGAGGGTAATTAATTTACCGGATGGTGTAGGGAAATTGGTAAAAACACGACTTCAATCTTACATTAATTGTATAAAATTCTAATTTCAGGTAAACAAGCAAAGTTTGTTTTCAATTATTACATATAACTATTAGTTGACGGATGTTACTCGTTTGCAGTTTGGATTTTTCGATGCGAAGTTTACTGGGCCTTACTGGGCCGCGCTCAGCCTGTCATTCCGCCAAATCTTTATTTATTTATGTTAATGAACATAATAGCCTGGGGTCCTCAGGTAAGTCAATTATTCGAGTATGAATTGTTCTTTAAATGATTTCAGATTTGGAGACGTGTTCCATTTAAAAATGAGCAAGCTTCGTTATTATTTACGGGTGATACTCGTAAAATATCTGTTCTGTCGACGAGTCCAACTCGGCGCGCGTCCTGGTAAGTTGTAAACCTACAACGTTATTACTTTATTGGCCAAGGCGGTGAAATTTCGGGATTAGTGCAAGTGAAAGATAAAAAACACTGTCAATATTTATTATAATTTATTATATTACCTTGTACCACGTCGTGACCCCATCGTCGTTTCACTGTAGTGTAGAGTTTCTACGATACAGGGGGAGCCGCGCACTCGTGCGCGGCGGGTCATACAACGTATGACAACAATTACCCTCTAGAGGATTATAAGTTAAGTTTAGATTAATATTTAAAGGCTCCGAGCTAGTCTAAAATGATATTTGTATTTAATTTTCTCAAATATTGGGTTTTATTTTTGTAAAATGAAAAAATGAAAAAATCCGCTCCTACTAAATCTCTCGTCCAAATTTTAAGCAAATTTTTGTGATAAGGCCCTTTGGGTATAAAATTAATTTGAGTCGGTGTATTTTTGGACGCTGATTCCGAATCACCCCCCCCCCCCCCCATGACATAAGGTTAAAATGCTTCCCTGGAGAGTTATGGGCAAAAAATATTTTGGTCACGTGACAGGTTGTATCACGTGGTGACCCCCACTGTCGCTTCACTATAGTCTTCGACGATACAGGGGAGCCGCGCACTTCGTGCGCGGCTTACTTGGCCGCGCTCAGCCTGTCATTCCGCCAAATCTATATTGTTAATGAACATAATAGCCTGGGGTCCTCAGTATGACAGGTAATGCGCGGCGGGTCATACAACGTATGACAAGTGACAGGCTAGTAAAACATGAATTCGATTGTTTAGGGCTTTGGTTAGGGTTAGGGTTGTATGTATAGCTTCGGGGTTATTATGGTTAGGGTTAGGGTTGCCGGTTGGGATTAGAGTTTATGTAAAACCGTTTTGTACGTGGTACGGCTGCAAAACCATAAAAACCAAAGTCACGTGAAATTGTTGGGCGAGCGAATTAGTACATAGTAAGAGCCGAAAAAAATCCCCAAATACCTTCGGCGGCGCGCGCTTCGCGCGCGAAAAGTGGCATGCAACGTATGTCAACATAATTTAATTAGGAAAACTATACAAAATGTGGCGGTTTTTGGTTAAAATTCTCATATTTTCGTTCCCAAATCATTTAGGTCACCGGAATTGTTTGTATAGTTTATATTATCGGATGTTCATATCATGTTAATTTTTATTTATGGTGATCATGATACTTATACTATTATCCATTGTAATAGCAATAAAATTTAAATGTTGTTTTCCTTAATTGTTTTGAGCGTGTTAAATCACTTTACAGTTACCTGAGGACCCCAGGCTATTATGTTCATTAACATAAACGTTAACATTAACATTAACGAATAAAGATTTGGCGGAATGACAGGCTGAGCGCGGCCCAGTAACTTTACAGTCGATCTTCGAGATTGTTATAAAAAGGCCTCCGACAGTTGACTGTTGAAACCAACGTCAATCGATGCGATGCAATGTATTTTCGGACGCTGATTCCTAAACACCCCCATGACATAGGGTTAAAATGCTCCCTGACGAGATATCGGCGAAAAACTGTCTCGATCACGTGATATGACCGTATAAGGAAGTTAGTCTAATTTCT